AGTTTTTAGGAAGCTGTCTCAGGGCTTCTACCCCCCCCTCCCACCCTTAAGGCATTCAGTACCCAAGAAACAGCAGCAGAAAAGAGACAGGAGCCTTGTCTCTAACCTCAGTTTAATATATTTATATATGAGTAAGTAACTAGCCACTTGGAACATAGTGTAATTTCACGGGCCATTTTGTCAGTTTCACATCCAAGAATACATTTGAGTGGTCCCAATCTTTGTTAATAATTAATAAAGGATGGACAGAAGGAGACAGAGGGATGGGTCTTCCAAATGTGCAGGGCTCCAAGAGACTAAGGGCGAGAGGTGAGGAGAAACAGAAGGGAAAATAAGTAGAAGAAGGCTAATCCATGTACAGAAACCTAATAATCTCCATGAACGTGAACATTATATGTCACAAACATGAGCTAAGATGAATAATATCAACAAGAATAAAAATAGGGAAAAGGGAATTAGAGGAGGGGGAGGGAAAGGGATTTAAAAAAGAAGCAAGTTGTATTATGTACATGGAACCACTCCCCAAGATGACTGCAAACTGCATGTACTGCAAACATGTACTAATACAAAATAATAAAAAATTTTAAATCCTCCAAATTATTCCAAATTTAACATGGGGTAATGACCAACACAATATTATGTGCATGCAGAAAAGAGTTAACACAGCAGGCCTGAGCTGCTATCCGTAGACAGGCCCACTAACAAGGGTGACCACTGGCTGACAGACCCCACACTAATGCCAGCTTCCCCTAACTGCTCAGAGCAGTTCACTGTGTCCACACGTTCCTGCTGAACATGTGCTCTACTGTGGGGAGTCGGGAACTTGGTATATGCGATGCAGAGGGGGCCCATGTAACTGGTCCCCAATCAGGGCCTTGGGCACTGGTCTCTGATGAGCTTCCCCAGCAGGCCACTTTTTATGGTGGGTGTCCGACGTTTTGGCTTGCCTGGACCACACTGAGTGAAAAGGAATTGTCTTGGGCCACATATAAAATGTATTAAGAGTTAATGCATATAAGTAACAAAACCTTTTTTATGCTTTTTTACACCATCATGTGCAGAAAACTGTGATACGGTTTTACTTCCTATATGACTACTTAAAAAACTGTTATTAAATTATTCTATTAAACAACACATCAAGATCAAGTTTAATAATTAGAGAAGAAAACTTACATGTCGGCTTAACAACAAAAAATACCTGTCTTCACAGGCACACACGTGGTAGTTGAAATACTGTTATCAGAAGTCACTGTTTTCCTCACCAAGTTGCACAAATGCACATGATGTCTGCTACCCACAGGTTTCTTTCTGTTGGACTGACTGTGTGAGTTAGGACAGCTGAGCCTTCCCCCACACAGTGTGTGTTGTGGCCTACCAGTCCACACTTAAGTGCCATGCAGTACAGTCATGGAGACTATTGCTAAAAATCACATAATAGCATTAAATGTTTATGATCTTGGTGGGGACATATTACTGCACGCAGCGTGCAGGCTGAGGGTTGGACACCTGCTTTGCGTTATTATCACAAGTCAGTGCTGGAGGAACTAAGTGCAACTGCCTGACTCCACTGGGAGAGGACTCTTGGAAGTTTGCACCTGGTTTGCTCTAAGCTTCATCCCATGCACCCTTTCCCATTGCTGTTTTTGCTCTACACAATCTTAGCCAAGAGTAGAACAATATGCAGAGTCCTGTGGATCTTCTAGCAAACTGAACCTTGAGGCAGTCTTGAGAACACCCAGCCCAATGTGAATCTTAGCTTAGTTCACTGCCAAAAAGCAAAAGTGCTTCACATTAGTGGCATATCTACTCAGCAAAGACATTCTGCTAGGCATTGTTACATAATTTATTTCATTTATACTTTACAATAGTCTTAGGATTTAGAATTAAATGTTTTTTAGATGAAAAAATGGGAAGTAACTTACACAAGGTCCTGATTCAAACCATGCTTGCCTGGCTCTTAAAAACTAAACACCTGTACTGCCTCAGAAAGCCCAAAGAGAAGCCAGGTGTGCTGGCACATCCCCGTAATCCCAGCACCTGGGGAACTGAGGCAGGAGAATAACAAGCTTGAGTCCTGCCTGATCAACCCAATGAGACCCTGTCCCTAAATAAAAAATAAAAAAAGGCCATGGATGTAGTTCAGTGAGAAGGCCCTAAATTCATTCCCCAGTACTGCGACAGCAAGGGGGTATGGCTCAAAAAGAGGTAGGAGATGATGGGCAACAGCATTTCTATGGAAATAACCCACTGTGTATTTGTAAAAGAAATCAGAACACTGGATCTGACAGAAGACACTTTTAGAGGTAAAAAGCAGTTAAGGAAGTGACCCTGAAATTTGAAATAGGGTATTTCAAGAATAATCATTGAGGGCTGGGGATTTAGCTCAGTGGTTCTGCTGCCTGCCTCACAAACACAAGGACCAAGTTTGATTCCTGGTACTAAAAGAGAATAATCATTGATCTGTTGAGGTAAAGAAACAATATGGAAACCCACAGTGGCCCTAGAAAATATATAACATAAGATCTACAAAGTTGGCCATGGGTCAGTGTCTCGAATGTACAGAATTTTGGGAAAAGTGGCTGGCTGCTCTCCAAGCAAGAGGGCTATCAATAGCAGCCAGTTTGAAATCTACACAGTAGGACTTTGGTATCAACTCATGTCAAAATCTGTGAGGTACATGTTCCTCATTTACTCACACAGCAAAAACTAGCAACAGTTTATTTTGAAAAGAAGGAACCAAAGTATCTACAGGAAAAAAAGAACACTGGGGAAAACACTGTTGCTATGAGTTAGAAGAGGAGGTAAAGGACAAAATAAGGGGAGGAATTACCATTTCAGTACACATCTGTGACAAAGGATTTATGAGTACATCCATTATCTTATTTAATCCCAATGATCCTTCAAGGTAAATAATTTTAATTTCATTTTATTTATTTTTGGTATTGGGGATCAAACTCGGGCCCTTCCACTTGTAAGGGAGGTGGCAGCACCGCTGAGCTAAATCCCTGGCCTTTTAACCTCATTTTATAGATAAAAAAACTCAGACTGCCGGGGATTTAGCTCAGTGGTGCTGCAGCCTGCCTCGCAAGCGCAAGGTCCCAAGTTTGATCCCTGGTACCTACAAAAAAAAATCAAAAACAAAAACTAAGATAAAAAAGTATCATATCAGCCCAAGTTCATACAACTACTATGAGCTGAACTCAGAATTTGAACTCAGATTGGTTTGGCTCCAAATCCATGTTCTTCTCACTACCATTCTGCATGTTCCATTCGGTTATAGGACGATCCAGCACCTAGAATTTGAGTAACTTTTGGTGTGGATGTTACAAAAGATATGAACCTTAAGGGCAAGGTCAGGCTGGAAGCAAGGACCTTACAAACTTCTGTGAACTAACAAGCAAATAATGGAAAAAACTTGGTATTTCCATAGATGCTTATCTTTTTACACTTGCATATTTTAAAAGAAAAAATCCGATATTCCTTGAAGGAAACCCTAATCATGGAAAACCGGAGGGAGACACCTACCAGAGCCCCAGTGTGACAGGAATCTTAGGGCCTGGAACCCAGTGCTCAGTTACAACAACTGGAAAATTGGGAGTAACCCAAGACTCCTCCCCTTTCCGCACAGCAATTCTGTTTCCAACACTTAAATTCAGCAACTTCTCATCATCCCACCTCCGCCGTCACCTCTCTGAATGAAAGACTGGCTTTCCTCCTTCCATCTCAGTTCTCTACTATGTGTCCTCCAAGTTGCAGTGAAAGTGACTGCTGGAAATTATTGCTCTGGTCATATCACTTCCTGCATAAATCCCATCACAGGCTACTCATTTGCTTTCAGGCTCAAACCCTAACTCCTACCCAGTCTTGCCTCCTTTGCTGACCTTGGCTCGTGTTACTGACTCTCTCAGCAAGTCTCAGCCACTATGGATCATTCTGGCCTTGAAGCCATCACAAAATTTGGTTTCCTGTGCCTGAATGTCCCCCCTCCTACTCACCTGGCCACTCATCTTGCACCTCCTTAGGGTTCCTTTCCCTCTCTCAGGTCACACCAGTCTGAATGAAGTCACCCTCTGACACCCTCTCTGATTACCCTGTACTGTCACAGTACATCAAAACTGTATTCTTCTAGTTACTTCTGCCGTTATTTGTTTGGTGACTTCCCCCCACACCTGACTGTAAATTCTGAGGCAGAGACTGGGTCTAGTTTACCAATTTTCTTCCTAGTACCTGGTAGGTGGTAAGTCCTCCTTCAATTTCTATTCAACTCAGCCAGGGGTGGTGGCTCATGCCTGTAATCCCAGCACTCGGGAGGCTGAGGCAGGAGGATTGCTGTGAGCTCGAGACCAGCCTGGGCTACATAGTGAATTCCAGGTCAGTCTCAACTATGCAGTGAGGCCCTGTCTCAAACACCCCCCGCAAAAAAAAAATTCTATTCAACTCAGTAACACTGAACAAATTCTGGTTTTGGTTTTGGTTTTGGTACCAGATATTGAACTCAAGACCTTGTGCTTGCCAGGCAGGTGCTGTGCTGCCGAGCTACATCCTTGGCCCCTGTGTTTATTGAATATCTACTATGTGATTAGCACATGTAGCACTGGGTATTGTAGCATGAATAAAAGAGAGTCCTCTATTGAGGACAGGTAGAGTAGCTATGGATATAGTACTTTAAAACCTAGTAATTATATACTGTGTCAGATGATAAATTCTGTGGTGAAAAATAAAGCAGGGTAAATAAGGGAATAGGGTGAGGTGGCCATGAATTATAATAACAATAAGCTGATTAGCAGTGACAGTTGAGCGCACTACTTTCACTCACCTCCCACATAAACCACTTTTTTCCAGTTCTCAGACTCCAGGACATCATCTCGTGGGTAGTAGCTCTGGTCTGTCATGAACAGAATCATGAGTGAGGCCATGCAGCAGAGAATGAATGTGTTGCCTTTGGTCAGAAGGGAGATAGAAGCCAAAACACAGGAAGCATAGGGGCAGGGTAGGCCCTTGTAAGAGAAGGGAACTCCTGCCAGGGAAAGACACAGGTCAGCTGCTTTCCCTGCTCTGAAGGCATCTAAACAAAGCCAGCCCCTCTCGGATCATCTCCTCCCCAGCTACCCAATTGCCTCAAGCCCAAGGGTAGCAAAGGACTACAAGTCATTCATTTCTCAAACAGACGCGGTGCATAAGGGAGTCCATTAACTACACCGCAGGCTTCTGGCTTCCAACAGCAGCTTCTGTTGTTACCTGTGTTGCACTCACCAGATGAATAAAAACCCAGACGGAAAGAAGTGGTTAACACATAGACGATGGCCACAAACCCATTCAGAGGCCCATCCACACCAAGGAGCAGGCCCGAAGCCAGGCCGAAGGTGGTGAAGATGGCAAAGTCATTCAGCTCGGCTCCTGCACAGAAGGCCCAAGATTAGAATGTACCACTTCTAAGCTTGCACCTGAGGTCCCAAAGGACAGCAGCTGCTTCCCCAGGTGGTCTATGAATCAGTCTGCTGTCTCCTTCCAGGTCTGCCTCTGACTGACCCACAAGTCGGCAAGTCTTTCCCTCTCCAGGGGTTAGTTTCTCCATCACTTAACATGCAAAGGCTGTACCCCAATAGGACGCAAACTGATAAGCTGTGGCACTCCCCCATTTTTCAGCTGCTTGGCTTAGGCTAATTTTTCATCTCCCCACTTTCTCTTCAGTACCTGGCTCCACCCAGAACTGTGAGGCAGCGTAGTTAAGGTCACCGAGCACCAGGACCAGGACTGACCAAAGTGAGCCCGCAGAGGCACTGGGTCTAGGCTGTGGGGCTCCCTAGCTCCTGCTCTGTGGCGCTGGTGCTGTTCTCAGAGGCACACGGAGGTTCGAGGACAGGTGCAGACTGGAGATGAACCCTCCCAGGGTCAGGGATTAGTGGCCTGAGGCCTGGACTCACCTGTTTTGCAGCAGATGTTAAGGTGTCTGGTCATCGCCCCTACCACTATGTCCAGCAGGAAGCTCATCAGAAGCATCCAGGAGGCACAGTGAGATTTCCTAAAGTGCAGCCATCAGGCCCAGACAGTGCAGCTCTTCACAGACCCCACCCTCCCCTAGACGCTAGTCCGCTCCCAACACACCTCCCTCCTCACCCGCACACACATGCGCACTACACATGGTCCCTACACTCGCATCCTTTCTAATACATACGGCCTTACTTAGCGCCTCACACACGCCTACATCCCTCCTAAAGGGGTTCCCTTTTCCCTGTGATATTCACTAATAGCCCTTCCGACTCTAAATTCCAGGCACATCTGACAGTACAGGGGTCCTTCCTAGATCCTAGTCCAGCCTCTACCACCATCTATCTCACTGAGAACTCTCACATAAATCAGTACCCCTCTCTAGGCCTTGGCTCTCCATTTGTAAAATGAGGGGTTTATGCTAAAGAGTTTTGCTTTTGGGTTTTTTTTTTTGTTTGTTTGTTTTTTGTTTTTTACTAGATAGACACCCATGTAGATGAACTGTTTCTCCTTGAGTGAGTTTTGGTAGTCTGTGTCTTTTAAGGAATCGATCCATTTCGACTATCAAATGTGTAGGTGTAAAGCAGTTCGTAGTATGGCTTTGTTATCCTTTTAATGTCCACAGGATCAGTGGTGATGACCCCTCTTTCATGTCTGATGTTGCTAATCTGTGTCTTCTCTTTTCTCAGTTAGCCTGCCACAGGTATATCAATTCTATTGAATTGTTCAAAGAACCAGATTTTGATTTTATTGATTTCCTCTATTAATTTCCTGTTTTCAGTTTTTTCAGTTGTTCTTCTCTTACTTTTCTTAGGCTATGAATTTAATTTGCTTCTCTTTTTCTAGTTCCCTAAGATGAAACTTTAGGCTACTGGTTTTTTTATTCTGTCTCTCTCCCTCGCTGTTTCTCTCTGTGTGTCTCTGTCTCTGTCTCTCTCTCCCCACTCTTCCGTCTCTGTCTCTCTGTCTGTCTGCCTGTCTGTCTTTCTAGCACTGGGGATTGAATCCAGGGCTTCAAGCACTTTACCACTAAACTACAGCCTCAGACTTTTCTTATTTTATTTTGAGATTGGTATCACTAATTTGCCTAGGCTGGCCTCAAACTTTCTATTCTCCTGCCTTAGCTTGTTGAGCTACTGAGATTACAGGCCTGTGTCTGACTCTCTTCTAATACAGCTGTGCACTGCATGATGACATTGTTTTCTACTACAGACCACACACTGACACAGATAATAGTTTCTTTCACAAGATCATCTCACCTGTGACATCATGGCCTTTTAGTCTGTGAAAGTACATTCTGTGATGCTCCCACAACAATGAAGTCACCTAGCGTTGCATTTCTCAGAACACATCCTTGCTGTTACATGATGCATATGCCCGTATACACACTCAGTACTATTAATTCCTTCCCTCAGCATTTTTGCTTGCATCTCACAAATTTGGATAAATTGTATTTTCATTTACTTGCAGTTAAAAATATTTTTAAATTTCTCTCAAGACTTTGATCCATTATCATTCAGAAATGCTGTTCAACCTCCAAATATCTCAAGACTTTGCAGGTATCTTTCTGTTATTGACTTCTCGTTTAATTCCATGTAACCTGAGATCACACTTTGTATGATTTTTGTTGTTTTTTTGTTTGTCTTTTTGAAACAGGGTCTCACTATGTAATTCACGCTGGCCTTGAACTATGTAGCCCAGGTTTGCCTCAAACTCATGGCAGTCCTCCTGCTTCAGCTTCCTGAGATTACAGACGTATGTCTCGACACCTGGCCATGATTATCATTTTTTAAAATTTGTTAGATTGTGTTTTATGGCCAAGAATGTGCTCTGTCTTAGTGACTGCTCCAAATGAGCTTGAGAAGGATGTGTATTCTGCTCTTGCTAGATGAAGTGCTCTGTAGATGTCTATTATATCTAGATGATGGCTGTGCTGTTTGAATTTAACTATGTCCTTGCTGATTTTCTGCCTGCAGGATCTGTTGATTAGTGATAGAAGGGTAGTGAAATCTCTATGATAGGGTCATCAATTTCTCCTTGCAGCTCTATCTGTTTTTGTCCTGTGTCTTTCGATGCTGTCAATGGCTTCCAAAGCTCTTAGCCTTTGGCCCCACATTCTTAGCCTTTGTGGTGTGCCCAGCACATACTCCTAGGACACTCTGCAATCAGCCACCACTGTCAAGAAAACCTGCCCCTAGGAGGTCCATTCACAAGTCTGCACCCTGATGGCAGTGACTAGGTGGCCCTGCAGAAGCAGAGGAGAGCCTGACCTCAGACTTCAGCTGTCCCCAAACTGCCTTAGAATTTCTCTTGTTTAGATCCATCCTAACAGACTAAGCTGAAAATACAAACAGTGGACAGAATCTCTTCACTTCTCATAAAAACCATTCTACACTGCTATAATGAAAATAGATATCATGATACAAGCACCTTTTTTTTTTTTTTTTT